ATGCTGCTCTGCATCATTGTCATGTTCTCCGTGTCCCCCCGCACCCTCATATAAACAAACGCGGTGAGCTCTGTGCTCGCTGCGTCTTGTACCCACTTCTGATCCTTCTGCTACTTCCTCATCTCTTTGCTCACCCTGTCTTTTGTCCTTTCTCTCCCTCTCTGTCCCTCCTTTCCTCCCTCTGTTAGGGCTCCTCACCTGACTTTGAAAACAGCTTCGCTTCAGGCGACACAACTTTGGTGGCAACTTTTTTATAGATTGAACACACGATTCTGACAGCGACGTTCACCTCAGCTGAGCTCTCTGTGTTTGTCTGTGACAGGTCAGTGACAGGTCAGTGGACACAGTCAACAGCCAACACTGTCCAACGTGACTGTCTTTAATCATCTGGGATCACTGCTTATCATTGCTCTACAATCCGTACAGCAGCATCGTTGAGGACACCAACACGAACCTGACACGTTCAAATTCCCAGGCCTAGAGTTGACACCTAATGGCAAAGGTGTAACGAGGAGCTTAACCAGGGTTAATTAGCTGAAGGACAAACTGAAAACGAAGCAGATTCACCTCAACTTCTGTTCATCACTTTCTCTAAAATGACACTGATTTATTTTATTCTCTACTGAAGTTTAGCTTCAGCGTCTTGGACTGCTTTTAAGTAATATCTCTGGCTCAGTTTTGGCACTGTGAGGAAGAGGTTAGCTACAGCTGATTATTGCAGGTGGAGAGTTTTTCTCCTTCTCTCTTTTTTTTCCTTGTCTGGACCGATATTTCATTTTGTTTTTCTTCCATTTTTTTGGCAAATGTATCTTTTTTTTTATTATTTAGTTTTTTTAAACTCATTTCTATCTATTCTAGGCTAAGTTTTGCTGGTAGATTGGGGATTGTGGATTTAGCTGTTTCTCTGAAAAAGTTTAGCTTTTTCTTTAGTTTTCTAATCATTGGTATGATACTTGATGTTTAATTAAATACATATGAATACAAGTATATACGTTTCTGGGCAGTATTTTCTCTTAATCTTAATCTGTCTGAACAAAAAATGTTTTCTGGTCTGGTGTCTAGAAAAGGACGGTGAAAGGACAACAGCGTTTGACTCATCAGACTGGATTATTTAACAAAGCCTTCCCAGCAACAGCAGTTAAAAAAAATATTCACATTGAAATGCATTGTTCAACAACAATCACATCACAATGATTAACGTTTTTGGATTATTTTCTTAACAAAATTATTTTTCATGAATTTCTGCCCCTGGGTTTGTGCTCTAAGTGCAAAAAACCACAGGGGTTTGGTCCTGCAGCCGTGTGTGTGTGTGTGTCAGCCATCTATCACAGTGACAGGCTGCTGCGTGTTTACTTAATGATGTAGGGGTTTATTTATGAAGTGATGGCCAACGTGTGGGAGGGTAGAGGGGGAGAAAAAGTGAGGGAGTGAGGCGAGGATTGAGACAGCCTGAGGATGTGACATTAAAATATCATCAAGGTGATGGATGTCCACAAACACACACACACACACACACGCAACATTAGGGAAAAATACAAAACGCAGCTGTGCAACGGACGACCAGTCCTATCTGGACTTATTTGTGTATATCTGTGTGTCTGTGTTTTCTATAATGACAAAGAGTGTAGTGTCATGTGTGTGTGTGTGAGAGAGTGTGTGTGTGTTATTTATTTTGACTTCTGTGTTCACTTAGGTGTCACGTACTGCCTCTGTTTGCCATTCACGGGGTAATGACTTGAAGATAAGATGCATGAGTATTGTGTGTGTGTGTGTGTGTGTGTGTGTGTGTGTGTTTCTCATCCTTTCTCTCTTGTCACACTGCACCATGTTACTCATGGTCAGCTGTAACGCACATGCACCAGAGTTACATCACAGTAAACATGTCGTGCTCTCCGTGCAGCGGGGGAAATGAATGTGAACATCTGGAACGTTCTGCTGCAGCAGGAACAGGAAGTGAATGAGTTCTAGTGAAAATCAGAAATTCAGAAATCAAATTCTGTGGAAAGTTGAAAGTCACTGAAAGATGTTCTGACACGTGTTTTTCTAAACCAAAGTCTAAAGAAAAATAATCTAATCTTTAGCCACTAGCTAATGTTTAGCTACATTGATGTCAAATTTTCTAGCTATGTTTTAATAGGCTTAGCTCAGATATTAAGTTTTAGCCAGAAAAAAAAAAAAAACACATTACACAGAACATTTCACAGAACTAAGATGTGGAGTTTTCTTTTTTGGCCAGTTTGTGTGAGCTTTTTCTTTTGGTTTAATTGTGGTTTAGTTTTTAGTTACTGTTCTGATGGTCATACTGGCAAATTGTAAGCCTTTATTCATCATTATTCTCTGGCAGAAGAAGAGAAGGTGACAGTGTCTAAGAAGTCCTGGTGTCCAACCCTCTGAGGAACACACGGCGTCTGATTTAAAGGTCGTTCCATATTTAACCCTAAAGTACAAAGAAGTCCTTAAAAAGGAAAGTGCTCGAGTACTTTTATGGCTTTAATTGGCCATCAGGACATTACAGGCGGCCTGTCATGGGCATATATGGACAACACAGACAGGGAGATTGTCATAATTACAAGTTTGACCTATCAGCAGACAGAGAACAAGGGAGGGGGGCAATTTAGAGGCAGATAATGGTGAAAGGAAAGGACATGAAGAAAACTTCACACAAAGACACAAAGTAGGAGCCAGTAATACCCACTTCAACGTCTCACACACACACACACACACACACACACACACACACACAGACAAATCAACACAGACATGAATAGACATTGGTATAACA